CCTGGTAACCAAGTGAACCCTCGTCCTCTGGCTAAAAAAATACAAACCTTAGCTGGCGGAGGGGCGGGCACCTGTAGGTTCCCAGCTACTCGGAGGCTGAGGCGGGAAGAAATGGCGTAAACCCGGAGGCGGAGCCTTGCAGTGAGCTGAGATCTGGCCACTGCACTCCAAGCCTGGGTGACAGAGCGAGACTCTGTCTCAAAAAAAAAAAAAAAAAAAAAAATTAAACTTTACCTTATTCTTTACTGGGTCAATTATTCTTTACAGTGTGTGACTGGAAATAATCCTCACAGGTTCTCTTCATTTCACTAACTCCAGTTTCTGCTGCCTCTGAACTCTGTTCCCTGTTTAAGACAAATAAACCAAGACTTCATATTTTCCATGAAGAGAAAGTTCCACTCTCTCACCTAAACCAATAAAAAAAGGCTTAGATGGTTTTCGAAATTTGGACAAATGAAGCAACAATAGCAAGATTTGGATATTCTGTAGTTACAGACTATTGCTTTAAAAATACCATTTTTCCGGCCGGGCGCGCGGTGGCTCACAAAAAAAAAAAAACCATTTTCCATTTAGCTTTGATAAAGTGGTATCTATTTCCATTTTGTCTTAATAACATTAAGACAGAAATGACTGCCTAAGACTACCTGATAAAAGGGTTAATTGTCAAGAGACAAAATAATACAACTATTGTAAACTTTATCTTTTGGGAATAGAAAATCCTAAAACAAAAATAAAACCACAGACCATAGTATAGTTGTCATTTCCATAGTGTTCTACAAAAAAGGGGGCTGTCAGAAGAGGCTATTTGGTAGGTAACTGAGGCCCCACTATTCTTTAAACCACATTAATTGATTTTATATCTTGGGCTTCATTTTTGCGAAAAGTGGTTTAAAACATCACTGGTTGAGTTTATTCTTAAGATTTCATGTGTAAGAACAATATCTATAAAAACCACAATATTAAACGTTCCTACGAGCAGGGTCAGAAATGATAAAGGTTTGACGTGACAGCTGGGCGCGGTGGCTCAAGCCTGTAATCCCAGCACTTTGGGAGACCGAGATGGGCGGATCACGAGGTCAGGAGATCGAGACTATCCTGGCTAACCCGGTGAAACCCCGTCTCTACTAAAAAATACAAAAAACTAGCCGGGCGAGGTGGCGGGCACCTGTAGTCCCAGCTACTCGGGAGGCTGAGGCAGGAGAATGGCGTGAACCCGGGGAGGCGGAGCTTGCAGTGAGCTGAGATCCGGCCACTGCACCCCAGCCTGGGTGACAGAGCGAGACTCCCTCTCAAAAAAAAAAAAAAAAAAAGGTTTGACATGACAGATATCCTAATTACCCTATTTGATCACTATACATGGTATGCATATACCAAAATATCACAAACACCCCATAAATATGCACAATTATTATGTATCAAAATAATTACGTTTATGAAAAAAATTGAAGGTAGAAATTCTTATGTAGTAGCTAATACACTGAATACTTAGTATGTTAAAACAAAGATGGAATATTTTTGTAAGTGGAAAATGTTAGAACAATGTAAACTTATCCTATACTTTTAAAAGAAACAGGGTCTTACTCAGGCTGGAATGAAATTGTGTAATCATACCTGATATAGCCTAGAACTCCTCGGCTCAAGTGATCTTCCTGCCTCTGTCTCCTGAGCTCCCAAGTAGCTGGGACTACAAGTGTATGTCCCCATGTTGCCCAGGCTGGTTTCGAACTCCTGGGCTCCAGTGATTATCCTTCCTCCACCTCCCAAAGTGCTGGGATTACAGGTGTGAGCCATCACACATGGCCTTTTCTTTTTTTAAAGAGCCAGGGTCTTGCTTTGTCACCCAGGCTGGAGGGTAGCAGTGGCATCATAGCTCACTTTAGCCTTGAACTTCTGGCCTCAAGTGATAATCCTGCGTTGGCCTACTAAAGTTCTGGGATCACAGCCGCAATGCACTATACCCAGCTCTACTATACTAATTTGAGTTAAAAATTAAAAAGCATTTCATTTTATTTAAAAGTTATGTTTTCATAGTTTTCCTAAGTGTTGAATTTTCTTATGTATAAAAAATAAACATTTTGGGCCAGGCGTGATGGTTCATGACTGTAATCGCAGCACTTTGGAAGTCCAAGGTGGGCAGAGACTAGCCTGGCAATCATGGTGAGACCCCGTCTCTACTAAAAATACAGAGATTTGCTGGGAGTGGTGGTGTGCGCCTGTAAGCTCAGGAAGCTGAGGCACGAGAATCACTTGAAACCGGGAGGTGAAGGTTGCTGTGAGCTGACATCCCATCACTGCACTCCAGCCTGAGTGATGGACAGAGACCCTCTGTCTCAAAAATATTAAAAAAAGCATTTTGATATAAATTGGTTGTATTAATTCTTATATTATTTTCTGTTAACTTTTCTACACACTTAGAATGCTATATATTAATAGTTTCAAAGTGTGCAGTACACTCTTCATTTCCTCATTGAAAATACTAAAATGTGCCTGGGTGCGGTGGTTTGCACCTGTAATCCCAGTACTTTGGGAGGCTGAAGTGGGTGGATCACTTGAGCCCAGGAGATCGAGCCCGACTTGGGGAAGATGACGAAACCCCATCTTTACGAAAAGTACAAAAGAAAATTGACTGGGGGTTGGTGGTGCATGCCTGTAGTCCCTGCTACTTGGGATGCTGAAGCGAGAAGATTCCTAGAGCCCAGGAGTCTGAGGCTATGGTGAGCTATGATCCTGCCACTACCCTCTAGCCTAAGCAACAAAGTGAGACCCTGTCTCTTAAAAAAATAATAATTACATAAAATTGAGAAAAAAATAAAATACTGGCTGGGTGTGGTGGCTCATGCCTGTAATCCCAGCACTCTGGGAGGCCAAGGAGGCCAAGGGGGTGGATCACCTCAGGTCAGGAGTTCGAGACCAGCCTGGCCAACATGGCGAAACCCTGTCTCTACTAAAAATACAAAAATTAGCCCAGCGTGGTGGCAGGCACCTGTAATCCCAGCTACTTGGGAGGCTGAGGCAGGAGAATCGCTTGAATCCGGGAGGTGGAGGTTGCAGTGAGCCGAGATGGCACCATTGCACTCCAGCCTGGGGACAAGAGCGAGACTTCGTATCAAAAAAAAAAAGAAAAAAGAAAAAGAAAATACTAAAATCCATCAATATTATTTTGTATCAGAACACCTCTAACGACAGAAGACTATTTTATGAGACAGCGCTTTAGGAATAAAAGATAAACCAAGTAGTGAGTGCTAGTAACAAAATAATTGGAGAGAAAAGTTGCCTTGATCGATTTCCGGTTGAAGGGTTCAGCTCTGAATTTACATTAATATTGCTTCCAGTCTCAGTGCCAGTGCTTCTAACATAGGGTTTCCTTCCCGTTGCTGATAAAGGCTTATTTACTGCACCTAGTACTCCAGCAGGTTTTGGCTAAAAACAAAAAGAAAAAACCCCCCGCAAAACACACACGTTTATATCTTACCATGTATACATGTAAATTTAGACAAAAGTAAGAGATATTGTTAAATGCTAATTAGTTAAATTTATCAGAAATGTTCATTCTGGGCCAGGCACAGTGGCTCCTGACTATAAATCCCAGGACTTTGGGAGGTGGATCACTTGAGGCCAGGAGTTCAAGACCAGTCTGGCCAACACAGTGAAACCCAACCTCTACCAAAAACATAAAAATTAGTCAGGTGTGGTGGTATAAGCTTGTAGCCCCAGCTACTTGGGAGACTGAGGCACAAGAATTGCCTGAACCCAGGAGGTGGAGGTTGCAGTGAGCTGAGATTGCACCACTGTACTCCAGCCTGGGCGACAAAATGAGATTGTCTCAAGAAAAAAAAAAAAGTTCATTCTGTAAAATTGTGTTTGGCTGCCTTAATACAATCAAAAGTCATGAGCGTATCTCTACTTAATAATAACTAGGTAATATTGATTTATCCTTTATTATTCAATCAAAATACAAAGTTCCCCTAAAATACAGCAAAATACATAATAAATGCTCCTATAAACAAACTATTGGAGATATATATAGAGAGTAATACTTTAGGAATTGTTTACAAAAAACTAAATTTCCTTTTGCTGTTCTAGGTGTCACCGTATTACTTACATAGAACATGAATTATCTTAATTCATTAGTAGTATAAAATTATTTCTTTTATCTTATATACCTAAGTTGGTTATAGCATTTCCCAGGAAAGCCTTCTTTGTGAATTGTAAATAAACTGTGCTTAACATTACTGATGAGAACACACAGTGGCAATTCAGAAGAGTGGTTGCTGGCAGAAAAAGTCTAAAAGCATGGCTGCTTTAGATGCTTTAAATCCATAATGTGATCCCTAAGAATCAGGAACTATATAATCTAGTGGTCATTTAAAGGTATTTCTAGGAATAGCAGAAGCAATATACACATGAAACAAAGATCTCAAAATTATTAAGTACATAATACCTTTCCTGTTAACAGAAGTACTCTTGTCTCTTCTGAAATATAACTCTTATCATTACAGAAGTCCTATTAATAAAAAAAAAAAAGAAAAAAGAAAAAGAAAAAAGAAACATCAGTCAAAGGGAACATGAGTATTTTAATTATCCCAATAAGGTTTTTTAGGTATTGTGCCTTGCAATAATAAATACACTTGTGCTAACACATATACCAGTTTGTCAAACAAACGAAACATTTAACAAGCCATACCATAAGTCTAGCTTTAAATTAAACTGATGGCACACACACTTAGGCAAATGTCAAAGATAAATCTCCTAAATCACACCATAAATAAAGCACACCCATGTTTTTATATGGTTCAATGCAGTTTATTCGTTAAATTTATTCATTGAATTCCACCACATCATAAACTTGGGTTGGGTGTGGTGACTCACGCCTGTGAGCCTCATCCCATCACTTTGGGAGGCCAAAGTGGGCAGATCACCTGAGGTCAGGAGTTTGAGACATGCCTGGCCTGGCCAACAGTGAAACCCCGTCTCTACAAAAAATACAAAATTAGCCGGGCCAAGTGGCATGCGCCTGTAATCCCAGCTACTCAGGAGGCTGAGGCAGGAGAATCACTTGAACCTGGGAGGCAGAGGTTGTGGTGAGCCAAGATCGTGCCATTGCACTCCATCCTGGGTGACAAGAGTGAAACTCCATCTCAAAACACAAACAAACAAAAACAACAACAAAAAACACATAAAACTGTTTCTTAGAACCATAAGTAGACCAACTGTCAAAATACAATTAAGTGAATTATGTTGACAGCTGTGATATTAACAAGTAAATAAACGATTTAAACGAAACGTGGAAAATGATAGCACTTTGAGAGCTGTATCTATATACAAATTAGGAGTTCAAACTTGATCTCCTGATGCCTCTTCCTGCTTAATATCTGAAAATGGCAAACAAATAAACCACAACGTTGTGTCAGTGAAGCAAAACCAGCTACTAAACTCAGGAAATATAAATAAGTTTTAAGTAATCCCATTAAAAAATATTTTTTAATTGTATTAAATTTACCTTCACAGAAGTAGGAAAGAACAAAGTGTGCCTGTGAGGAAATCACAGTTTTGTCATGTGTGCTAGGCAAAGCCGTATCATTTCTTTTGCACAGTCTTCTATGCAGCTAAAATAAACATCAAGAAACCTGTGTACCAAAGTTCATTCACTTCATTCATAAAGATATACTATAGCTTCACTAGGGTTCACTAACTTCACAAACCTAGTTTTCTAGTGTTTATGAATTTATAACACATTGAAAGCAACATGTTAGAAAAATAAGGAATGCTGCATACTGAAAACAGAAAAACCTAAGGTAAGAAGACTAAAACACTACAACACAGAAAATATCAAAAGAAAAAAAACCACAAAAATTGTTATTTATGAGGCCAGACAGGTGTAGTGACATGCAGGAATTTAATTCTTGATGATGGTATCACCACTGTTACGAAGATTCTATTCAGGTATTATTCTATTCATGATGGTCCTGGGTCAACAACAGGATTAATTTTAATTCAACAGCTCACTTAAGAGCATTTTACAGGCTGGGCATGGTGGCTCATGCCTGTAATCCCAGCACTTTGGGATGCTGGAGGTGGGTTGATCACTTGAGCCCAGGAGTTTGAGGCCTGGCCAACATGATGAAACCACCTCTCTACAAAAAAGTTAAAAAATTAGCCAGGTGTGGTGACACACGCCTGCAGTCACAGCTACTTGAGAGGCTGAGGTAGGAGAACTGTTTGAGCCAGGGAGTTGGAGGCTGCAGTGGGCCAAAATCAAGCCATTGCACTCCAGCCTGAGTGACAGAGACAAAACAAAACAAAACAAAAACAAAAACAAAAACAAAACAAAACAAAATTTTATACAGATCAGTGGATTCAATTAGAGTATACTTTTGCAATTCTCATTATTTCTATCAAAAGCAAGGCACAGTTAAGTGTTTAATACTAAATAAAAATCATTACATTTTAGCAAACTTTTAGTAAAGTACGGCATTCAAAGTAGGAAGCTCCGTTTATTTCTTGGAATGTGCATTTGGAGAATTCTCTAAGCTAGGGGTCTCCAACCCACGAGCCGCAGACCAGTATGGGTTATAGGTCATGGGTCTGCGGCCTGTTAGGAACTGGGATGCACAGCAGGCAGTAAGTGGCTGGCCAGCAAGCATTACCACCTGAGCTCTGCCTCCTGTCGGATCAATGGCAGCATGAGATTCTTACAAAAGCACAAACCCTACTGTGAACTATGCATGCGAGGGAGCTAGGTTGTGTGCTCCTTATGAGAATCTAACTAATGCCTGATGACCTGAGGTAAAACAGTTTCATCCTGAAACCATCTCCCCACCTCAATTTCTCTGTGGAAAAATTGTCTTCCATGAAACTGGTCCCAGGTGTCAAAAAGGTTGGGAATCACTGCTCTAAAGGGGTCATTACTGAGGCATATATATATACATTTACAGGAGAAAGTTAAACAAGTTTAAAATACTACCTAAAAGCAGGAAATAAATAAAAGCTTTAAAAAATCCAAATTAGCTGGAAATACTTAACAGAACCTGGGTTACCTGAAAATTTTACTTACATGGGAAACAACCTGCTGAAAGCAGAATAGATACACTGTATATTAATTAATAACACCATTTATTGAATGGTTTTATGTGATGAACTCTTCATATAAACCTAGATATTTAGTAATTGTCCATATGTATTATTAACATCTGCATTATAAAGATGAAGAAATTGAGGCTTAGAGGAGGGAACTTGTCCCTCCTTACAGTGTGCCAAATATTAAAAATTTTTGTCTGCAAAAATACCACGTTTCAATAAAATGAGATTAAAATAATTTTAAAAATCTGAAAACTCTAATGCTAGAAATACCTAGAATAAACATAAGATCAACAATATTTGTAGTCTTCTGTTCAAGGCAGAATAATGTTCAGGGCTGTGTAAGACAATCTCCCATTCTTTGATAAACTCTGATTTTCTTTTTTTACTCTGTAGTCAAGACAATTCAGTATTTGCCACAATGGTTGATGGTAACTGAAATTTAAATCAGTTTAGTGTGGTAGGAAAAATGAGAGGAAGAAAATTACCTTTTCAGGTTGTGTAAAAAATTTCATTGGGAGGACTGGGTCCTTTGGTGAATCTGCATTGCACAAAGCACTTTTACTATTTATAACACAGAGAGCCACATCACATACTGTATACAGTTTCTAGGGAAGAAAACGAATCATATATAACTTTTAATATTGCAAAATAATCACAATTACCAATTCCACTAAATGTATACATTAGAGTTAGAAGAAGGATATTGTGGTTGTTATTTATTCCTTGAACATTCCATATTTCTGTTCAGCATTGTTTATGCAGCCTTCTGGTAAAGAAAAATCCCTCTATATGAATTTAACATGAATGCCAATATGCATGGAAAATAACAAATGAATGAACCAACCCAAAGAAAGCACACAAAAAGAACAAGCATTTGTCTGTAACTCTTACTGTAAGTTTGTAAAATAGCATAGTTGTACATTTTATTCTTATCCTCTAGATCTAAGGTTATAATGTCTTTTCAGAGCACTAAAGATTCTTGAAATAAAATTCACTTGTAATGAAGTGCAATAAAAACTATTCATTTACTTTTGTAAACATTCTAAAACTTAAATTATTATGTATGGCCCCCCCCAAAAAAAAAAAAAGGGGGACAATATATTTTTCTATTACATCTTAACACCCACTGGCCTAAGACTCATCTTACTTCATTTGTCTTGGATTCATCTGGAGACTGGGCATCTCTGGTTAACTTGATGTTCTCTGCCATCTTCTTCATAAAGGCATGGCTATTGTTTTCATTCTTTGTCATTAAAACTTCAAGCATGAACCATAGGCACCTAAATGTAAACACATTAAAGAGACTAGATATAGACAGATGCTTTAGCTTAAAGCAATAAACATGTTAACAGGAATTTCTGTTGTCTGAATAAAATAAAGTAAAATGATCAACTTTAATGACTAGTACATGTTATTATCCTATTAATAATATTCTATTCAAATGGAAAATCAAAGCATAAAATAATATATAAAAAATGAAAACATAGCTTAATATGAGAAATTCTGACAGTTTCATACGGCATATAAAGATTCACCCTAGCTGGACATGGTGGCTCATGCCTACAACCTCAGCACTTTGGGAGGCTGCGGTGGGTAGATTGTCTGAAACCGGAAATTCGAGGCCAGGCATGGTGGTTCATGCCTGTAATCCGGGCACTTTGAGAGGCCAAGGAAGGCGGATCACGAGGTCAGGAAATCGAGACCATCCTGGCTAACACAGTGAAACCCTGTCTCTACCCAAAATACAAAAATTAGATGGGCGTGGTGGCAGGCGCCTGTAGTCCCAGCTTCTTGGGAGGCTGAGGCAGGAGAATGGCATGAACCCGGGAGGCGGAGCTTGCAGTGAGCCAAGACTGCGCTACTGCATTCCAGCCTGGGTGACAGAGTGAGACTCCGTCTCAAATGGAAAAAAAACAAAACAAGAAATTCGAGACCGACCCCGTGAGACCCCATTTCTACAAAAAAATACAAAAATTAGCTGGGCATGGTGGTGGGTGCCTGTAGTCCCAGCTACTTGCAGGGCTGCGGTGGGAGGATCACTTGTGGCTGCAGTGAGCCATGATCACACCACTGCACTCCAGCCTGGACAAAAAAGTGACACCCTCTCAGAAGAAAACACAGATTCACCCTATAGGTAAGTTTAGATAATCCGATGTATCTTAACACCCAGCAATGATGAGCAAATCAACACACAGCAGTCTTGGTATTTTGATTATTTATAAGCTATGCAGAAGTTCTACAATTGGTATGCAGTTCTGCTGAGAAACAAATCTAAACTGCATGTGCTATGAGGCTGATGTGTGTGGTACTCAGCCACTCAATTAAGGAGTCACAATCTCAAACCACTTTTGCTATTCTACACTTGTCACTGTATATTCATTTAACACATTGTGTCTGAAGGGAACATTTGAATTTCCAAGTGAAAGTGAACCCCAAATCAGGCTGAACATCAGAATTGCTTGGAGAACTTAAATAGACAAATCTGGAAATGGGGCCTGTTTTTATAAAGATCCCGGGATTTTCAGGCAGTGACATGACTACTACATTACTGCATCAACAGGGGAGAAATTATTTGATGATACTCTGTAAAAGTTTCTTTTCCTACATTCCACGTAACTGTTTTAAGAGACTACTGTAGCATGCATTAGTTTTTTAGCTTAATGGCTTAAATGATAGTTGATTGTTTCAATAATATTTATTAACTTTGGCAAAGAGTTGTCAACTCTAGTTAGATATTGGATAGCTGCTAGAATCCTGATCAAAGAAAGGAGCAGAATAATGAATAACAACACATATAATAAAAATTAGCAAATATTTAATGAGTGCTTACTATCTAATAAGCATTAGGCTAAGCACTTTACCGTCATATAATCCTCATAACTCTATAAAGAATATGAAAAATCATCACCATTATATATAGAATCTATTTTTTTTTTGTCTGTCTTTTAAGACTGGGTCTTGCTTGCCTCTCAGGCTGGAGTGCAGTGGCGTGATCACAGCCCCAGCAGCCATGGTGTCCTGGACTCACACTATCCTCCTACCTCAGCTTCCTGAGTAGCTGGGACTATAGGCGTTCGCCACTATGTCTGGCTAATTTTTATAGAGCTGGGGTTTCACCAGGTTGCCCAGACTGTCTTGAACTCCTAGGCTCAAGCAATCTACCCGCCTTGGCCTCACAAAGTGCTGGGACTGCAGGCGTAAGCTACCATGCTTGGCTGTCTGAGTATTTTTTTTGAGGTGTTACCTGTTTAGGGTCACAGAGATAAAAAGATGGAGCTAGGATTAGAACCAGGTCTGCCTTTATACTTTTAACAAAAATACACAAAATAAATATAATAAACATTATCTGAGTAACTATGTACTAGACAAAGGTGGCAACACTGAACACATCGGTTCTACAGGTTTGAGGATTCTATTTATTTATGTAAACACTGAAGTCATTTCCTTAACTCTTAGGTCAGAATTCTGTTGAGTTTCTATTAACTTGAAGATTTGTTTGATCCCTTTTCACAAAAGTATAGGGTTAGGATTACTCTCAGTTTTAGGGGATAAGGTGAGGAAGCATTCCTATGCAGCGTTTCTTTAAAAAGTTGTAACAAAAAAATCTTGCAATAAGGTTTTAAACATTAGTATATATATAAAATACTTGAATGCACATCAACATAATAGAGAATTTATTCCTTGAAGTAACTGGAAAAAAGTATGATTGTTTTGTGATAAGAACGCCAATTCCACCTTAATTTTATGCAAACATGCTGAGACTAATGTGCTACCTAACATGAACCAATTGACTCAATAAATTTTAGTACTTGGAAGCTGTTCAATATAACGTTACGTTTAAAACAGGACACAAAACCATACAAAACAAAACGTATTATAAAACAATATAAAATAGACATTAAAATGGCATTTTGTGAAATTAGAATATGATGAAAACCCTGGGGCCGTGTCTCACTTCTGCATCCTCAATACTGCCCAAGAAATGTAATCATTAATGTTTACCCATCCTACGAAGTACACAGACTCCCATAATCCTCTGCTTCTTCTTGCCTTATCCAAAGGAGCTAATTCCTCTCCATCTCAATGTCTTTTCACTGAGCTCTCTGGAATATACTTTCCCCCCAAAAAGAAACTTCAATGAATGCTCACTTCACCTTTTTGCCATAACTGAAACCATACCCCCACTCCAAGAATGCTTGCCTTGCATTCCCCTAAAGTTGTAACTGCTCATTCTATTAGATGATGCATACTCAGGGTCAGAGAGTGGGTTCAGCTTCTATCATCCCCAATGCTGATTCCAGTTATTCTTTCATGTTTATGTACAATTACTCCAAGGAAGCTTGTGCCATTTGGCTGCTTCTACCATCCTCTCCTTGTCAACTTATCTATCAGCTTCCCTATGTTCCTTGCGTTCATTTAGTTTCTGGATGACATTTTTCCTCGACTCCATCTTTAAGTCCTGCCTATTTTCTGGGCAACCTACTCAACACGATTTCCTAATTCTTTGGCGGTTCCAATCCTGGTAAATTTTCTTTGCCTAAGACATTTCACTGCCTCAGACATTCCTAGACTTGGTTAATCTTTAGAAATTGTTCACCTGTGAAATTATAAATTCACTGCAGCCTACCTCCTGGGCTCAAGCGACGCTCCTGCCTCAGCTTCTCGAGTAGCTGGGACTACAGGCACATGTTACAACACCAAGTCAATTCAAAAAAATTATTTGTAAAGATAGGGTCCTGCTATGTTGCTCAGGCTGGTCCTGAAATCCTGGACTCAAATAATCCTCTTGTCATGACCTCTCAACATTTTAATCACTTTTTTGAAAACAGTGTCAACTCTCTTACCAATTTTTCTTCTGGTACACTTGCTTTGAAAAACTCAAGAACAATCCAAGTCTTTGGCTTCTTGACAGCTATATTTAGAATTGTTTAATGCTACAGAAAAACCATGTAGCTGAGAAGCTTGATATAATTATAAATTTAAAATTTTTAACTTGGTACTTTATGCTAGCCAGCTATCCTATGTGTCACCAGGATTTTTAGCTACTTCTTCACAGCAGCTGTTTCCAATCTTTATACTACTCATATCTAATTCTATCACCCTCACCTACCAGTAGACTCTGCTCCTTTATCATTTAGAAGCCTAAGTCATTAGATGAGACCTCCTCAACTACTTAACAGCAGTCCTGGAAAATTATTTTTATTTCCTGGCCTTCCCTTTATCTATCTTTAAGATCCCACCGCCTCACAAATTCTTCTTTTAGAAGTCCTCACTTCAATTTATTACCATCGTTTCTTTTACCTACAACCACACTTTATCCCCTGGCTCCTTAAATACTTTCCATTGCCTTCTTCCTCCCCAGTTCATAGCCAATTTTTAAAAAAGATTTGTCTAAACGATATGTATTCCTTATCTTTTGGCAATTTGGCTTTCATCTGCATTGCTTTACTACAGCTGCCCCTGCCAAGGTTATCAGTGAGTGCTTTGTTGCTAAACACATTTTAAACAATTTTTCCAACCAGTAAGCAAATAAATACAGTTTGTTGCTAAATTCAAAGGACACTTATTAGCTGTGTGACTTTACCCTTGCTGGTATCTTCATTTGTAAAATGGGAACAACGGGATGGGTGCGGTGGCTCACACCTGTAATCCTAGCACTTTGGGAGGTCGAAGTGGGTGGATTACCTGAGGCCCGGAGTTTGAAACCAGCCTGGCCAACATGGTGAAACTCCATCTCTTTAAAAAAAAAACAAAAATTAGCCGAGCATGGTGGTGCATGCCTGTAGTCCCAGCTACTTCGGGATGTTAAGGCAGGAGAATCGCTTGAACCTGGGAGGCGGAGGTTGCAATGAGCCAAGATCACACCACTGCACTCCAACCTGGGCGACAGAACAAGACTCCATCTCAAAACATAAACAAAAACAAAAATAAAATGGGAACAACAGTAATTATCCCATTGTTCTCAAGAATAAATGAGGTTAATATTTCCAGTACACTTAACATATAATAAAAAGCCAATGAAAGTTAGCGGGTTCCTGATCATTTTTCCAAACTGCTGCTCCTTGACCTCCAATATTCTTCCTCTAGGTCGTTTTCTGATTCTCTGTTCTTTCCAGCAGTGATATGTTTGAAGTCTACACTATAAGAAGTTCTGCTCTACAGATTATTTTTCCTTCCTCCTCTAACTTCTGACTCCCTCCAAGTGTGAGTTATGTGCCTATTCTAGGTACTCCCACAACAGCAGAGCATATATCACATACCATATTGTAACCACCTCTTC